CTACCCCGTATCATTTAGATAGGAGTAAAAATATCACCTACAATTTGCAACTTTCTGATGATACACGACTCTTGAGGGAAGAAAAAGATAAATAACTTAGTAACATGGAAAGGCAATACAGGTGAAGGGCTGGGGGAAGGAAAAGCTTGTTAGCTCTGGCTGACACTCAGAGGTTTTTCCTCTGGATTCTGCCCTTTATGAGGTTTCCATTACTTTGCTAAAGACAAAACACCAGAGGCTCAACTCTTTGGAGTTCTCCAGGCAGGCAGAAGGAACTTTGCATAGATAACAGCAATTGGCACAAGACCTGCTGCACTTTAATGCTGTCCAAGGGAGTGACACACAACTCATACAAGGCTTTCAAATTTAATCAACATAAACCCCTGCTTCAAACTTGCAGTCAGCAGAGAACCTTACATGACCTCTCACACCTCTTACACTCAAGTCTACAGGTATTTGCATATTCTGGAGAACCGTAAAACTGTTTGGCCTTTTACATCACTCAACATTATTGGTCACGTTAAATCACAAGGCAAATCTGTAGTGCATGAAGAGATGAGAAATTGAAACAGAAGAAAGGCTCTGATAATCTGGGAATCTGCAGAAGGAACCACTGCACTGAATTTAGCACCAGCATTCATAGAATCTGGTGTCCTTTCTGAAAAAAAAAAAAATATACATATATATATATATATACACACATACTTAAGCTCTGTGGTACAGCATTCCTATATTTACTTTCAGTAGAATGGATGTAACATCACCTTGAGAAAACTTCTATGAAGCTCTTAAAGACTGCTAGATTTGTTCAGCAGTTCGTTCTGGTTTGGTTTTCTGGCTTTATTTCTTTTAAATTTCTGGGATTTTTGGGTCTCTACTGATCAGGGACATATACTTGCATGGGAATGCAACTTTAGCAATGCATTAAGTGGAAATCTGAATTCACAGCTGCATTCTTTTTACTGATAAAAATCACTTAGACCCTCTTACATTAAAATAGTCGTATGAGAAATACTTTAGTAATAAAATATTAGGATACCTCACAAGCAAAAAACCACTTGGACACCATTGACCCAAATTCAGTACGTGACAAACAAGGATGTGAGAAGTCTCACAAGAGTTGGAAGTTCCCTGAAAAGACACCCAGAAGCTGGAAAGAAACTTCACCTGTGAGTGAGAACAAAGCAGCTCCACCTGCACCATCCTGCTGGGAGATGTGGAAATTCACCATTTTTTGGTGATTTATTAATTTATTAACACACCCAAGCAAAACTCAAAGGTGAGTTTGGTGGAATTTTCAAAACATGATGTTATTTAATGCCTTCCACCTCTAAATTCTCTGTCCCAGGAGCTTTGGTCTTGGGTATCTTTCAACTTCAAGAGCAATGGCTGCAAAAAAGAATCAGCTCTGCAGGGTAAACCATGCCCACACTTCTAGTGACAGACACCCTCTGGGCTGTGAAGGAAGCAAGCTCTGCCTTCCCACCAGTAATCCCAAATGCAGCACAACACATGGGAATTATGTGCCTTTCCCTACTGTCTGAAGGCTTTTAATGTCATCTCCTCTGTCTGGAAAACATAAACCAGGAACACAAGGGAAATGCCTTTCTACAGCCTAGTTTACACAAATTTCAGCATTATCCACAGCCTATATCAGAGCTGCTCTATGCCCTCATGGCCTTGGATAAGTGGTATCTGCCTGTATTCCTACCAAATCACTGGAAGCATAAACTTGCTGCAGCAAAACCAAAACAACCCTAGAGATAGCATTACAAAATTTGGGTTACTCAGAATTTGACTTTTCTGTATCAATAGGGAAGAAGACCTAATGGACCTTTTGAATTAAAATTCTTTGTTTATCACACCATTTCTTAACTTCTGGTGTCTGTAACATCTTTTCCTTCTCTTCTGCTTTACTTTCACTGAAAATTTGAGTGTGAGGGTTCAGCACTCTCCCTCACATTTTAAGCTGCTTTCTGCTCCAGCACTGAGTGCCTGATAAGAAAAGTGCTGGAAGTAGCTGCTCTTTCTCTCAGCTGTCAGTGCAGCAACAAATGCAAAACACTAAATACATTTGTGTAATTCAGCGCTTCTGGTTCTCCCAAATTTCAAGATCTGCCCCTGAAAGAATTTTTAGGGTATTTAAAGCTTATAAATGCATAAGAAGTTTTTAAGAGGAGACATTTAAACAGTGTGAGAAACATCTTAACTCTGAGGGTCATCACTTGCACATGTATCACTATGACCATCAGGACTGATGAAAATCTGTTTAAGAAACATCCTTCAGGAAAACATGTCACCATTTTAACTAACAAACTTTACATTGTTTATAAACTAGCATGTTACCAGACATTAAGAAGCTTTTCTTTGTCAGCATTTCTGGGACAATCAGCACAAAAATAGAGTGGTATCATCTTGTTTAGCACTTATGAAGAGAAGCCTTTCCATTTTAGGCCATGAATACATGGCTGGGTCTGGAGCAGCTGTGAAAAGCAGAGCAAAAATTTGACAGTGCCTTTAAAGAAAAATCTTTCTCCTCTTCTACTGAATAAACTAAAATAAGGCAAAAATTGATGGCAAGCACTTTGTGCTTTTTCAGTGCCTTTACACAATCAGAGATGCAATCATCTGACTGGCAAGTCTTCCTAGAACTCATTTCACATTACAACAACCTTCACTTAACATAAACTCTGAACACACCGGAGCAGAGCATCGGAGTGCTCCGTGGCAAGTCTTAGAAACCACGGAACATCCTAAATTATAATCTTGTTAAAACCTTCCTTGCACGGTTTATACACTAGCAAAGGCTCAATCAAACAAACGGCTGAGGTGTCTGATGGTGGCAAGGGGGTGGCCAAGTGCCTCTTGTTTGTGGACAGAGATTGTATCACCCAGCAGAACAAGCTCGTGGTGCTGCTGTCAACAGCCACCTCCTGGTCCCCTGCCACAGTGCTGAAAACTTATATTCCCAGCACAGCACCTTGTCTCCAACACCTCATCTCCCTTAAATCTGAAACAGGAGAACCAAGAGCAGCCACCACAGCTGCTTTTGAGAGCAGGAGATCAGGGTAAGTGGGAGCAAGGGAATACATGAAGGGAGAAAAGAAAAATCTCCTTGACTAAAGCTGCTGTACTACCCCTTAAGTATTTTTAGTGTAGTAACAGGAGTTCACAATCAGTGCTGCTAAATTTGAGAAGGAAAAGACTATTGCTGGATGTTGTGCCTGTTTTATTTTTCCAGTACAAAACCAAGAACCGTGTATATCGACCTACTCAAACTAGCCCAGCATTAAACCCTACGTTTATAAAAATCAAGTCTAAACAAATATCTCTTATATTTTTTATATTTCTAGGTTGCATTTTTGTCTAAAGACATTTACCTAGCTCCTGTTCTGTGCAGTAAGGCAATCACTTTTACAAGAGGAAGGATTCCAGCTCTTACTGAGAACTTGCCTGTACTAAATTAGTCAGATTTCCCTGTAATAGACTTTTAAACATAAACGGGCTCTTACACACCAGATTAATCCACTTTCATGATTTTAAAAGACTGCCTGAAGCTAGATGGCCAGTCTGCTATTCCATTTATAGACACTTAATTGCACCCAGTTTTTATTCATTAGAATTTAAGAGGGCTTGATACCTCTGAAATTAGGACCCTGATAGCTGTTAGAAGTTGCATATTCACTTAGCAGCAAACAAAAAATCCAGAACTAGTCTCGGTTTAGACTATTTAAGACACTACACTGAGAACAATGTAGACATGCATCCTGTTTATTCAGCAGGCAAGGACAGAGCAGCCGTCAGAACTAGAAGGCTCTTTTACACCACCATGACAATGGGAGCAAGCACTACAGTTCAACCTCAGTACTTGCCTCCACAATCCTAGTAGGCAGGAAAGAAAAAATAGGGGAGAGGAATTTTATACTGGAAACAGGCAATAAACCCTCAAGCACCGCAAAAAGTTACACCACTACACAGTACAAAACAAAAATTCAGTTTAACCAATATTCCAGAGAAGTTTTATGCTGGCAACACGTTCAACTGAAACTCTGTTGATGAAGACAAGCCTTACCCTTCATCAATTTTCCTTCACTGTAACCCAAAGGAATAAGGACCAATAGACACAGGCTGTGCTCAAGATTGTACACTGTTCTAAGTATATCCATGGATATACACTTATATACATGTAATTTATCGTTTCATATACCCTTAACCTCTCAGAAACAGAATTATCAGTGATATACTCAGGAAACTATGGTTTGTTAGGGAACACTAATAAAAAAAGCCTGCTTCTTTTCCATTCAGCTTAGACAGCTGACAAACCTCTTAAGAGGCAGGGTGATCAATTTCTATCAATTTCTGATTCCATCAACACTCTGAAGTACTTACAGAAGAAGCAGCAATAAACATTTGACACAATCTGTGCATATTGTGAGAAGAAACATAAGGAGTTAATTGACATTTTCCTACCACATATTTTTAGACAAACATAAAACCGATGTGCTGGATCAGACCCAGAGATCCATTAGCCCAGTTTCCTCTTAGACAGAGCATGCAATTGGAAGCTTTTCCAAGGGTCCTGTAAGGTCTGTTTCAGGTCTGTGAAGGACAACCGCCCTACCTTTATGGTACATAGAGACCATGGACCAGATATTTTCCACTCTGAAGTCAATTACTTTCAAGTCTTTCCAAAACACCCAGTTACATCTGAGGGTACTAACATACAAATGTAAATAAATTCACTATTAATAATAAACTTTGTTTTCAAAGTAAATATTTATTTATGTCAGTTATAATGACAAAGTTTTTTCTGTGGTAAGTCTGCACGCTCTGACAGAGATAACAAGCCATGAAACAAACATGTTTTAAACTATCTGCATCTTAGGCTCACTGGAAGGAACACCTAAACAGCAGATTTTTCTTGTTTGTTTTATTTTGGGTTTGTTTTCAATAGGGCTGGTTTTTGAGGTTTTTTTTTTTTTTTTTTAATTTGTTTTTACCTTTTAAACGCTTCAGCAGGGTTCCTCTCACATTCCCCGGGCTGCAAGAGACTTTGAATAGCAGGATCTCTTAGTTTGTCCTCATATCCCTGGATCAGTCCACTGCGGCATATCTGTGTGACTAAACCTCGAATAAAGCCTCCAACACAGAGCGTGTCAGAGTCCTGGGCCCTGCAGAAATGGAAGGCCAGGGCCTGGCGATGTAAGCCTCTTTGCAGGTTGGCAGGTGAGCTTGGCCACAGTAACTCAGTGCAGAGGGCTGTCTTCCCACTGCCGGGCCCTCCTACCAACAACACACCCCAGGCAGCTCCTTTCCCAGAGACAACACCGGTGTTATTCCCAGGATTCCCTACAAGAGATGGTTTGTTGGCAGCGCTGCCGCTGCAGCTCGCTTTCTCCTGGAGGCAGTGCTGAAGCTTGTGGAAAACCCACTCCCTACAGTAAAACTGCTTTCCCTGCAGCAAGCTGGTCTGAGCCATTTTATAAAGCTTCTTCTCTTGGATGTGTCATAAGCTGCAGCACATCTTCAGCATCTCAGGAGCGGGGAGAGGCGCGTTCACCCGGCACGGGACGATCCTGTGCGCGGAACTTGACAGAGGTGACAGCAACCAGCCACCCTTCCTCGTAAAACTCAGCAGCCTCTGCTCTGCAGGACGGGTGTCACTCCATCTGTGTGCTGTGCTGGGATCAGCATGGCACTATCACAGCTCAGCTGACATCCTGCAGCGGCGGCTGGGACCAGCCCTGGGCAAGACTTCTGGTGTGGCTCACAAGTTCACGCAGCTCCATGGCTGCATCTGCGGTTCAGGCAGTTCCCAGTGTACACGGGAGACAATACAGCTGGAAAAGCTGAGGGAAAGCCAACTTTGCAGCGTATACTAAATGCCTTTCAACTCTAGGCATTAATCTCTGTGGATATACATACAGAAAAAGCTGTCCATAATAAAATGCTCCTTCTGGGAATTTCATAAAAAAAACTGGTGTCTCTTCAGAGTACTATAAACACACCACAAACGTGGCAAGTACCACTGACTAAAGCAGCCAGTCTGGCCAGCGAGCTTTGGAGACTTCATACATCTGGGAGAGTGTCCGAGAAGTGCTTCACATTATGGTTTCTTATGCAGCACAGGCGACAGGGGGGAAAAAAATGTTTACAGCTTCTTATTTCAATACATTCGTAGTGTCTTCTTCAGGAACTTGATTCTTACTGAACCTGTTCTCAGGTATCTCAATCGCAAGATGTCAGAAGAGACAACATCTTCCCCTAGAGCTCTGAAATAAAGGAGACAGCACTTTTAACCCTACATGCAAGTCATAATTCAGTCAGCTGCAAACGCAGACAACAAAGACCAAAGTGAAGGGCTCGTATTCCTTATTCCTCCTAATACTGCTGAATTAATCAAGAGAGCCGTCTTAAAGAAAATTTGTTGTTACGAGGCGTGATTAGCCACATGCAAAAAAAGAAATCCCCAACAACAAACAATGAGCAGATATGACAGTGGCCTCAAAACCACAGCAAGTCTTGCATTTTCTCCCGAGGAGAACCGAATATATCCTTCCATCCTAGAAACATTCCTCCTAGCGAGGCTTCCTCAGCGAATCCCCTCATCAGCGAATCCTCTCCTCACCCCATTTTCCTCCTGCCGGCTGCGGGCGTTTTCGGGAGTTTGTGTTGCAGGGCAGCGCTGCTCCCCGCACGCTTCTTTGTTCGCGGCAGCGGCGCCCGGCAGCCCCGGGGTCACGCCGTGACACCCCGCGCCACCGCCCCGTGCCCCGCGCACCCGAGCCGGGCCGGGCTCCAGCCCCGCGCCCTGCCCGCCCGGGCACCGCCGCGCAGGCACGGCTCGGAGCCGCCCGCCAGCGCGACCACCTCCCTCCGGGGAACCCCCCGAGCAGCCGGGGAGCGCCCCAGCCCTTCCCCTGCCTCTGCCCCCCGGCGCGGCTCCGCAAGCCCCGTGCCCGCCGCCCTCCGCCGCGCACACACCCGGCTCCGCACGGGCACCCGGGCACCGCGCCCGGCGGGGACCCCCTAGCCCCGGGGCCGGTGTCAGCCCCGCCCGGGCAGGGGCCTCCTCCCGCCGCTCGCTCACCTCCGTCGCCGCCTCGGCGCGGCGGCTCCTCCAGACGACTCCTCTCGCCGCTGCCCGCGCCCCTCCTCTTCCTCCGCCCGGCCCCTGGGCTCCCGCCCCCGGGCGCCGCCGTGCCAGGGCCGCGGCCACCCCGCTCCGCGGCTGCCTCAGCCCGCCCGGTGCTCTCCCCGCTCGGCGCCTCCCTCGCTCCCCGCTCCGCCCGCCCCGGCCCCGCCTCGGCCCGCCCCTCTTCCCCTCCGGCGGCGGGGACATCTGGGGCGAAGTAGTGCGGGGCGGAGGGAGACGGGCGGTGCCCCTCGCCGCCGCCCCGGGCTTTGTCCCGGCCCCGGGGCCGCCTCCGTCCCGCCCGCTGCCGCGGCGCCTCCCGGCGCGGCCCTGCAGAGGGCGGCCGCGCCTCCCGCCGCGGGCCCGGGGCGCCGGCCCGGCCCGGCCCCGCTCCGCGGCCGCGGAACTTGGGCGGCAAAGGTCCTGGCTGGGGGCGAGCCCTCCTCACCGCAGGCCCTCGCATTGACACCTGGGCTGAGTCGTCTTTCAGAAGCAAGAACGCACCTCAGAGCTTGGTCTTCTCACTCGCTGCCTTTTCTCCTCGTGCCCTGCACTGGCCCATTTCAGACAGAGCTCCCATGAATTACCCTGACAGCCTCTCCGGATCGTAGCAGCAATTCTGAACCTTTTCCACCTTCCCAACCATGCTTCTGGATTTACTCAAAATCATGTTTCCAAGACTGTGAGAGCTCCAAGACGCATCCCACATCCTTCCCTTAGACCACGTTAAAGTGACCCTTGAGCTTTACAGTTTGCGGATCCCTGCAAACCCTTGGAACCAGGGACCTTACTGTGGAAGAAACAGGGTAGAACCTCCTCCAGGACAACTTTGATGTTGAAGAAAACAGGGTGGATCTCGTCCCAGGACACCTTTATGAAGCCCTTGTGAAGCCCCTTCCACCCATGACGACAAAACCACCGCTCTCCTTTATTTTGTCTGTGATAGAGCAAGGGAAGGATTTTCATGAAAATTTGCTCCCCTTGCAGCTGGCTGCATTAGTTATGATGAGGCACTTTTCCATCAAGGATCAAGGTCTTTACGGTTGCTAAACAGTGCCTTCATTTTAGCACGGCTCTGTATGGTTTTGTACACCAGGTAATCACAGCATTGTGGAGTACACAGTGAATATATCCATAGGATACAACGGAGTGATTGATTTAGGGCCCTTCAAGGAGCATCCCGGGGTTCTTTGCTGGAGCAAAATGAAAAATTAAATAAATTCAGTTGGTGTACTGAAGAGCTTAGGAAAACAAGTCTGTCTGCTTCTGAAAACCAGTAGAACAAGTTTGAAGAACCTTTGGAAGCAGTGAATTACAAATTCGCAGAGCAATTGGGAGTGGGGGAGAAACAGAAATAAGATTAGTAGTAAGAAAATGCTGTGTGGTTGTTTTGTTTTGGGGTTTTTTAAGCTTTCTGACTTGGTTGGGTTTTTTTAACCCTACACTTTTGGCAAATAATCTTCTCTAGGCTTGTTTTTTTTTGTCTTCCTAGCCGCACCACCCTTCCATTTCGAAATGTTGTGGAAACTCAAGACTTCCAAAACTAATGCTAATACAAGTTCAAGAGACTTTGAACTGTAAAATATTTTTTTTAATTTTTTTTAATTTTTTTTTTTTATTTTAACAATAAAGGGATAGAGACAGATAATGGTTGGAGTGATGGGATTGTAGTTCTAGTCTGGTAAGCAGGCTAGAGAAAAAACAGAAGTTGACAGAGAGAAAAAAAAAGGTAAAAAACCCACAAGAAATAACTGCAGATTCAACACATTAAGGAGCAGATCTTGGCACAACTGGTAGGTGACCCAAGGAGGAAAAAATAAATAAATTGGACAATGATGAGATGCAGGGGAAAGTGCAACTTCTGCCTTTCTGATGGCCAAGACACAAGTGAGAACCCAATTTAGATGAAAAAAAAATTAGATTTCACAACATCCAGTGTGAAGATAGTGAAGCAGGTGGAATAACAGCACGGTTTGCTAAAATCAGATATTTAGCATGATGGAGTTATAGATAATAACTGTGAAAACACTTAACCCTTCCATGCTAATACATAAATCCTAAACCAGATGACAATAATTTGATTTTAGCGTGGTTCAGAGGACACGAAATAATTAACCCCCTAAAACTGACTGGTGGGCACTGCATCTGAGCTAAGTTTCCCTTCAGGATATCACTCCTACAGCTGACATCAGGAGTATGAATATACTTGCTGGAATTACAAATGGAAGAAGGAGAGGGGAAGGGAGAGAGGAACAGAAGTTAGAAAAAAAAATGTGGCAGGCCTAAAGTATAATTAGGCAAAATCTTGCAAAGTTCAAAGCATGACCTTTCAAAAACTTTCTATGTACAAGCTAAAGGTGAATGGCCTTGCACTGACCCTCCCCTCAAATTACTACTAGGAAGCAACAGCATATGAACACTTTCCATGTTAAATCCTTTTTTTTTTTTTAGAAAAAAGAAAAAAAAACCTTAAAAATAAGTTCAAAGGATTAAAAACCCAAGGTTGTCATGAAGAGGAGCAGCCACAATCTCTCATCTGTACACAAGAAACTAAGACCCTGAAGTCAACCTTCAAAAGCAAAGGAGGCATTTTGTTATCAAGATTATTTGTGTAGTACCTCCTATACCTAAGGTGACAGCTCAGATGACATCATCCTGGTGAATTATTATAGCTGAGGGTCAGATATTTCTGATACAATTGTGCAACGTTGTAGTTAATGAGACAGTATCAGGATAAGAACCAAACCTTATTTTTGTGGTTTTGTATAACTTAGTTTGACACAGATAGCAAACAAGCCGTGATCTAATTGGCTGCAACCTTGCAGGCTACAAGGCTGACAGATAAGGCCTAAAAGAAGATGAAACAGAGCAAAATTTCCTATCTGAAAAAAAAAAACAACAAAACCAAAACCTCTCAAAAACACTCTATACTTTTTGTTTTAGTGGTCTGAAGCTGTGGGAACCTTCCTGGTTAATCTGAGCCACACCAAGGCACCTGATTTTAAATGATGGGATGTTTGTGTTGTGCATGATTTTGAGTATGGTTTTGTGTTTAGCTGGTTAAGGCTAAAAAAAGAAGAAACTTTGAGTGAAAAGATTGCACAGAAAGTTGTAACATTAAGAAGTCTGCGGTAACAATGGAAAAACGTGGGGCTGGGTTAAGCAAAAATCTTTTATGCTTTCCAAATGATTTGCCACATCTTTTGCAGAGTATTAGGAAAGGTTGCTACGTGCTTTTCAATTATTTCACCACTTTCAGTATGATGTTAGCTGCATGTGAAAGCAGGCAGTCCTGATGGACGGGAGAACATGATGGATCACAACGAGACAGGCAGCGTCTGATCCTTGGAGTCATCAGGAGCCCTCCTGTGTGTGCACAAACTTGGTTTGGCTCCGCGTGTAGCTGGGAGCGCTGTTCCCTCTGCCGTGGCTGGTGCGTGACTCAGCCTTGCGGGTCCCTGCTCGGGGTGCACGCACGTCCCAGCCAGCTCGGAGCCAGGGCTGCACATCCTCGGAGCTCCTCGTGGCTTGGGCACAGCTCTGGGCAGGCAGTGATTCACATCCAAAAAGAAATGTTTTGCAAGGGTGGGCCTGAGGCGTGATTATCTGCTTAAGCATGGGGTAGTCATTTTAACTACTTTTGTAACTTTGGAGTTTCTGGTTTTCGTGCATCATTATCTTTTAATTGAGATGCTTTCATTCTCTGACAGGTAAAATTAGTGAGGTTGATGGTAAGTAAAGATAGTGCAGACTTAGGATAACATAGGAACATAAACATAAAAAAAAATTATAATTTCCCAAGCAAATAGTGGAAATCTTATCACGTGAAGTATTCAGGCAAAAGCATTCCTCTGACATGGATGTTTCAGGTCTTTGTCCTAAAATATGTCTAGGCTGAGATGCACTTGGGACTGTCAGTATTGTATAAGACGCCTCCACAAAATCACCTGGAAGTCCTGTTTGTGAGTGGCCTGTGTCCATTCTGGCAGCCACAGCCAGTCTCTGATCCATCCATCCATCTATCCATCCATCCGTCCATCTCTGGTCATCCATTGCCCCAGGTCAGAAACCCTCAGACCCTAAATGATGCTACAGGGGATGGATGTCAAAGGCCTCAGAAAGGTCTGGTTAGTTCTTATTCACATTTATTAGATCCTTCAGAGTCACACTGGTCACTTAGTCATGTATTTGGCAATGGACTCCAAGAGGATATGCTTCCTGAGCTCCTCAGGAACTGAGTGAGGCTGACCATCTTGTTCCTTCTTGTCTTTTTTTAAAGAGGAACATAATGCAGGTTGGTTTTGTTTGGCTTTTTTTTTTTTTTTCCCCTACTTATTAGGGACTTGCACTCACAATTTCGATTTTCAATAGATGAAGGTAATAGTGTTCTTTTACCTAAGAATATAGCCAGGAAGCATAATAGTTCCTTTCAGCTCTTTCCTCACCCTTCCTCATTACCAGGTAATTTGGGTAGGAGTACTATCTGTCCCATCTATTGAAACTGGAGCTCTGTGAACAAAGGATGCAAGAATGACTAAGTTGAAGCAAAATTAAACAAAAGATCTGGGATAGGATCATGTGGTGGCTGGAACAGTTGGCCAGGAGAGGAGGGAGCTGTACTCCCATTTTCCCTGAAAAGGAAATAGTTCTTGTTTCCAGGCTGACAGCATTCATCTCTAGGTCATTACAGAGCTGCCACCACAACATAATCTAGTTGCATTTTGGTAGAGAAATGGCTATTGTGCTTTGTGTTAGAAAAGGCAGTTCTCTGTCCCTTGATACACAGGGGCCAGGGTCTGTCCTGTAGCCACAGAAAAGGGAAAGCAGGAGGTCTGCATCCACATATCCTCATCCTCTGTACAAATACAGGTGTGCATTGAATACCCAGCAGTGGTGGATGTCCATTTTGCAGCTTAATAATAGAATTAAGATACACTCAAAAGACCTGCTGTCCATGTCCTGCCTGGAAAATATAATTTGTATCACATATAGTTATAACTGTGCTTATATCTACTAGTGCATGTTACTGTCACCCTGTAGATAGGATGTTGATTCTTCTTCTCACTGCTGTGCTCTCAAGGAAAACACTCTGCAGGTGACTGTTCAAAATAGGGGATCAGTCTAAATGCTCTGAATTCC